TTGGGTTGATTGTACAGTTTTGAATATAATATGAAATATCCATAAAATGTCACTGACACGGGGTAGTCAGTTTACTAAATTATGAAAAAGGGTCCCTTAAAGAAAGACCCACTGAAATAACCACTGCTGAAAATCATACTTCTGCCTCAGATATTGTTTAGCAAGAAGTAATTATCTGCTCCTGACAAACACAATTTCTAGCATAATTTGTACTTCCCATTTTACTATAGTGTACATTCCAAATGCAGACTGTTCAATGACATTACAGGTTTCACTTCCACCAGCATTCTCTCTGTGGACAGTTAAACAGTGCATGAACACCTGTTTGAAAGCTTACTGGGAAGTCTTTCTGGTCAGCGTTTCTGTTTGGTGACGTGTTCTATGCAACATTTAAGAAGTCGTGTTTTAGAGAAGTGCTGGCTCAGATGCTTCCTCTCTCCTGATGTTAACTGAACCTCCAGTCAGTTACCATCAGGCTACAACTCTGTGGAATGTCCTGTGAAATGTGCTGACTTGTGTTTAACACAAACTGGGCCACACTCTAGCAGTTTAGGATTTAGGTTAACTGGCTAATGAGTGGCTTATATTCTCACACACACACACACACACCTCTGGCCATTGTGTTGTGACCTGACCTTCATATATAGCTGCACAATGGGGCACTGTTCTAACATTCTTATCCATACAGCAAACACTGGTCCCAGAGTTCCTTTCAAACTGAATTCAGTTGCCTTTATTATGAAAACAAGAGAACATTGTATTTTATATATGCAATTCTGTACTAAGATTACACAGCAATTTGCAAACAGACCCTATTTAACTGGCAGTAGATATGCCAAATGAATGTAGAATAAATAATTCCAACAGGTTTTCTACACATCTCACCAAGAATCGCAGACAGGTCCTCCCATTTTATACAGTCTGGTAGTACAATATTTATTTTAAGTTGAAGTGTTACATGTTGAGCAACAAACTTACAGTTGTCTTCAGCCACAAATTTAATGCAGAGATAAAGAGTCAAGACTATCCCAATAACGTATTGAACACTACAGAACTGGCAAATCAGATTTGACATATATACATAATGTTTATGTACATATACTTTTGCACTAGACTTTAGATGCTGGACTTTGAGACACTGCTGTGCAGAGGCTGGAGAGAAAAATAAAAACACCTTCATATGGAGACAGACTGACAGACACATGCTGATACAAACAGCTGAAGGAAAAAAAGAAACAGAAAAGGTCCACACAAACAGAAATCTTAATCAAACTGATTCATTTTCCAACCCCGCTGTAGGAATGCAGAGAAACAGACACATTCACACAGACACACACACACACACACTGTTCTCATCAACCTGCATTCAGAGGGTCAAATAAAAGAGTAGTCTCTGAGAGGTCTGGGAGAGGGGCAATGGGCCGGGTTGAATGATCACCTATCTGTAGAATGTTTCATCAGTAATAGGACAGTATGACAAGAAGGATGCTTTATTTGTTTTTGGTAGTGCGGCTATATTATGTACAGTACAAATACAGGCAACTTCATCTTGTTCTCACATAGACATGTGTCATGTCTTCCCTGTCCTGTCTGGCTGCGGTAGGGGGCTTTGCTGGGACAAGGTTGAGTTTGAGGGGGGATGACGGCCAGGCTGACAGGCCTGCAGAGTAAGAGGGCGGGGGGTCAACATGGAAGTGGTTTCTCTCTCAGCAGCATCCTCCGGATGAAGGTTTGACAGTAGTGCCGGGGGGCAAGTCGATATTGGCCTTCCCGCCTCCTCCGGCTGTGGTTCCGGGGCCCATCCTCTTCTTGATTTCAGCAGCCATGGTCATGAAGGCCTGCTCCACATTTGTGGCATTCTTTGCGCTGGTTTCCAAAAAGGGGATGCCCAGAGAGTCTGCAAACTCCTGGACACAGTGGAGGAGGGACAGAGAATTTTAGGCATCTTTTTTTGCAGCTTTAAGGTTTATTTATTTAGATATTAGTATCAGCAAATCCAAATAACATGACATGATATGATACTAAACACTACACGACATAACAGGGACAGCATTGTGTGCAGATGAGAAAGTTGTCATGTTGGTCGTATGAACCACTTTGGCTTCAGTCAACAATGATGTAGAACAAAACAAAATATAGTGTAGTAGCGCGTGTGTGAGTGTGAGAGTGAGAGTGAGTGAGTGAGAGAGAGAGAGAGAGTGCAGGAGAGAGGTGGTGTGCCTGCAGCTCAGGACTGGCAGGTGTGCTGCTTGTTGGAGTGCAGTCAGGAGAGCAGTAAACTGTGAATGTTCAATATGAGCTACGGTTGGTCAGAAAGTAAATGTCACAGCTTCTGGAGGACTGAGGAGAGCTCAGAGTTGTGTTTGCCAGCAGCTGAGTGCAGTGATGCTGTGGTTATAGCCCTGAAGTTAGCTACAAGTAAAAGAGTCTCTCCTGTGCTTCCTGACCACAGTCTGAAGGCTGAAGCAGGTTGTTTCAGATCTTTGTTACACAGCAATTTGTTAAAATAATGTCATTCCATACTTTAAAACATCCCACTGATAGAATAAACAAACAAAAAAAACAAAACATAAGTGTTTTTGATAGTTGCAAGTTGTGAAATAACATATTTTAGTCTATATTCCTATTTTAGCTTAAAAAAATACTTAATACTTTCTTTATTACAGAATATGTGTGTCAGTACGTGTGTGTGTGTAAATATGTCAGTAAGCTTCAAACAGGTTCTTGCTGGATCATCTAACATTATCCTTTCTGAAAGGGGCTTTCTAAAAATCACAGTCACTCCATGCAGCAACTGGGCAGGTGAGAATACAAGTTACTTTTCAACTTCAATATCAATTCAGCTGGGCTGGCCTATCTGGTTTGATGTTTTAGAGATGACCCATCTTAAATATGACATTGTTCAATAATCTGCGACATGTCGCACTAACGCAAAGACACTGACTCATACAGCTCATGCAACAGTTTATGTGTGAGAGTAAATACCCGGCTGCCTTACCTTTGCTGTTGTGTAATCAACCACCTTCTTTGTCGTCAGGTCGCACTTGTTCCCAACCAATAGCTTGTTGACATTTTCACTGGCATAGCGATCAATCTCCTGCAGCCACTGTTTGACATTGTTGAAGGACTCCTGGCACATGAAACAGATAAACATTAGCACCAAGCTAAATCTGCTACAGGACATCAGCAGCCTTCACAGGGCCAAACCTTTCTGACACCAAATCAGTTTGAAACATTGCAAGGACAGAATATGATACAAGAGAGCAAATCAGACAAAGTTGTGAAGCTGTGTGTCTATTTTTTTTTTTTTTTATGGCCTTTTCATGGCTTTATTGGATAGGACAGCTGTGGGGAGACAGGAAAGGTGGGTAGAGAGAGGGGATGACACGCAGCAAAGGGCCGCAGGTCGGATTTGAACCCTGGGTACTGCCGCAACTCCGTATATGGGTCGCTAGCTCTACTGACTGAGCTAACCGGACCCAGCTGTGTGTCTATTTTAAGGTGGATAAATAAGATAGAGAAGATTGAAATTTTACAGTCTGGGCAAACTTCCAACATGTTATGTGTGGGCTTGCTTTCTCATATCTCTATAAGAACATACAGAACACAGTGTCACTGCAGCATGGACTTTGAGCTGCTCAGAGCTGTTTGTAACTTCTGTATCTGGACACCAGCAATCCTACTGAGGAAGTGTCCATATTACATTATGTCTGCCCTCAAGTTAAGATTTGGAAAAAAGTTAACTCAAGTTCCACAGCAGATGTTTACATGCAGATCTCACTTCCAAACAGATATTCCTGCGCAGAATTCCCAAACTTTTAGCCCTGGGCAATGATAAATAGACATGGGAAGCAAAAACAGGTTCCAACTATTCAATTCTCATCACTGATGACAACTGTATGTCATGTTGTTTAAACTGAACCATCTCCATCACATGGTTTCAGGAAGAACCTGTAGTTCCACCACCACTCCACCTCCTGATTGTAAAGTAAGAAACAGCACAAACAAACTATTTCCTGACTGTTTGAGGTAGAGCATCAGTGCAGACCCAGAGGACACAATAAGCTTTCTGAACTACCACAGGCCTGCATGTAAAAACATAAAGTGCTCTGAAGGGGTTGCTGAGACAGGGATGCAAAGCAAGCATTGTGCTAGTGTTTACTCACTAACTGCTTTCATCTACTCACTCTGCTCCTCCTCTTTACCCCGCGCACGCACACACGCACACACACACACACGCACTTGTCCTGCCTCTCTGTTTCTCTCTGGCAGTATGTTTAATTAGAGTAAAGTCTCTGGGAAACACTGCAGGATAAGGTTTTGACCTGGCTTTAAATAAAAACACACATTCGAATACTGATTTGGATGTTGATTACCATGGCAACAGTCGAAGCTCTGAAGCATTCGGGTCAGTCCTAGTATGGACCATATTTGCATTGGCAGACACTACAGAGCAAAGTTACCAGTAGTCAGGGTCTAAGACACTTGACTCCTCTATACCTGAAATCTATCACATTACGTCATGATTTATAGGTGTCCAAAAACTATTTACAATACCTCTTGAGCTATTAAACAATATCTAACGATTCATTTTCATGAAAATATGGAGCCTAGTGGCCAATGCTGAAACCAGATGTATTTCTGGCCAAATAAAGACCTAACATCACGTCACGATATTTCTAGTGCAGCAACAACAAGCCTTGACAGCACACAATGTTTCAGCGGTCTGTACACCATCAGTTTTAAATGTCTGCCTCTCTGACTCAAATTGTTCTTGTGTAAAACTTCCATTTTGACCATTTTGAGTAAAAGGAAGACAGACTTATTTTGGTTCACAATAAGGTGAACACTAGCTTCTTTTCTTTTTACACCATACAACCTCTGCACATACACACAGCTTTGACTGAAAGCAACATGTACACTCCTCTTCTCTGTGGGTTGTTCAGCATCAGTCATCCATTAGTCAGCAAAATTAACAACGTTTTATTTCTCTGAATTTCAGTGCATTAGAAACTGGCCAATTTGATTCTGTCTGAAAAGTTCAACCACTAATAAACAAATGTACAACGGGGCAAAATCTTATCTGCTCACGTGTAAATGAATGAAACTGAGTTCTAACAGATATGGTGAAATAGTGTAGTGTTATACTGACCTGGTCTGTGACATCGTACACTACAATGATACCATGAGCACCTCTGTAGTAGCTGGATGTGATAGTGCGAAACCTCTCCTGCCCCGCTGTATCCCACTGTCAAAGGGAAAAGATCATATTTAGTTAGTTTGTAAGTATTCAGTGCTTTCTGATAGAATTGTATTGTATTGTGTGAGTCTGAAAGCCACCTGGGACAAAAGAAATACTCCACTGAAAGCCATGATAATAACAACAACTTAATGCAGCATCATAGTTCGTCTGATTTATCCACTCTTTACATGCTTATTCCTGTTTATAAAAAAAGAAAGCTGCTGATTATTCTATATTTTTTTTCATGTGCCGGCTCAGACCAACAATGAATGTGTGTTAAACAAGTTGTATGTGTTTCAAGTCTGATATATCTTATTCCTCTGTGCCATTGGGATCCATTGTTGTCCAAAAACAATTTAAAACACATGAGCCGCACTGTTGGACTGGGTGTGTCATTACCACACACACACATACAGTCGGACAGTCCTGCTGCCCCAAATACTCGAGCACAAAATGTGCATGGAAGACGCCAACAAATGCACTAGTTCCTTCTATTTGAGTAATATTTAATAATAATGATAATAACAAAAAATGTGAAAACTACAGTGAGGAACTGTTTTGGGAAATTACTGGAAAAAAACAGAAACTATACTATTGTGAGCTGTTTTAAAGGTGTACATCGTCAGTAGTACCCAATGGCCTTGGACTCTTTGACAAGACAGACTACCTCTTTCATTCTTGTCAATATCAAAGTCTTTCTTAATGTTTAACAATAGGTGGCTTTTGTGCATGCACCTCTACCCCAGCCTCGCAAACTGTTTACTCGCTGGTTCTGGCACAGAGGTGCCCGCAAACCACGCTACAAACCCCCGCTGACAGTATATCCAGGATGCGCTGTATACGCGTCCAATATATTTTATTATTATATTTATATTGGCATATCACATGTGTCCTAATTGGAAATTGCTACATTCAGGAAAACCAAAAAGGAACATGCTGTTTGCAGAACCCTTTTAACTCCTATTCAGAATAAGAGTGGAAAATGAGTTTGCATGTAACCGTAGTCATTCTGGGTGTTTATATTGGGTTTATTGTCAGTAAAAAAATGCTAAATAATTACAGACTTTTCCTTTGATGTTGCCAGTTGTACAGATGTCCAAAGCATGAAAGACAACTAACTTTCTGAGTGATCCATGTTTACTGAAGAACACTGGTGAGAAAGCACTTTGCAGAGCTAAAGGGAAACAGTAGGTTACTTACAATCTGAAGTTTAATGGTCTTTCCATCTAGTTCTATGGTTCGTATCTTGAAGTCCACACCAATAGTGCTAATGTAACTTTCTGTGTATGTGTCATCCTGCAGAGAGAGAAACACTCAAGAGTTAGATGGCTCACACAAGTGGGAAGTCACAGTGTTGTTACAGTGATCATTTCAGTAGTACACAACCTGGAGCATGTCACTCTGTGAGTGACTGAGTTCAAGTTAACTGCTTGAGTCTGCACATGTAAGCAACAAGTAACTTAATTTCCTATTGAGCTAATAAGAAACCCAGCTAAGATAGCCATAGTGCATTGTTGTCCAACTGAAGACAGCTTTTAACAGTCTGCATGAAATCACTGCATATTAAAACTTAAAGTACTGCAAGACTGAATCATGTTTAAGTGTAAAATGGAGTTAATACAAATAAACAGTATCTGCTACTTTAGTTACTTACTGCAAATCGGAGAAGAAGGCAAGACTTTCCAACACCAGAGTCACCAATCAGGAGCAGCTTGAATAAATAGTCACTGTGAGGGAAGGGTGAAAAAAAATGTTCTAGTTAGAGGATATTCAGAAATCGTTAACCAAGTGAGTGAGTTACAGATTACCCATTAAAGCACATGAATGGCTGCCATAGAAAGGGCCTGAGAACACACAGGTCTGACTTTACACTGACCTTAAAAAAATATATTTTTTTGATTTAATGTCAGTGTCAGTCAGATGCAAATATAAGTCAGCATTAGTGCCATTACATCATTTGCAGAGTGGCTGAAAAGTCTGCCTTTTACAAGGAAAAGGAAGCATGATTCAGAACAATGAACCCTGCTGAGCTCAGGCCCATTTTCAGAAGGAAGAGCAGGAAGCTGGCTGATCATGTGATTGGACATATGAAGTCAGTTTAAAGGACCAGGGACAACAGAGTAAAGAAGTACTCTAGCTACGTGTTGTACCTCTGTACTCCAGTTCAGTAGTTCACTACTGACAAGTACATTCACTTGAATTTTAAACACAGAACCTACTTTCAGTTTCTGGGCAGAGCTCCTGCTCCCCCCAGGGAGCTGTACTGAACACCACACTACAGCATTTATCAAAAGCTCCAGTGTGTAACATGTAGGAGGATCTATTGTCAGAAATGGAATACACTATTTATAGAAATGTTTTCATTAGTGTATAGTCACCTGAATATAAGAATCATTGAGTTTTTGTTGCCTTAGAATGAGCTGTTTTTATTGTCCTTTTATTGTCTTTATTTGATAGTGACTGCTGTAGATGGACAGGAAAGGTGGGTAGAGAGAGGAGATGACACGCAGCAAAGGGCCGCAGGTCGGACTCGAACCCTGGGCCACTGCAGCAAGGACTCCGTACATGGTCGCCAGCTCTACCCACTGAGCTACCCGAGTGTCCAGTTTTCACTGACTTTTAAAATCAGGATAATGTGAAATTTGTTTGGGTCAGTACCAAAATCAAAACATGTTCTGTTGTATACAGTACTTCATTATAATGCTGTTTGTCACGCAATGTACAAACAAATTGCAGCTTCTTCCACTTGCATATTGCACTTGGCCACGTTGCCATTTTGATTAATTGTGCAGCCCTAATATCGGGTCAGTAGTTGTTGCATAATTCTGCTGACAGAAACATGCAAACGGCACCAAAAACATAATCTCCTTGGCGGAGGTCATAAAGGAACAATCCATTATTCTGGGAAATCTGCTTCTCAGAGTCAGATAAGAGGATGGGTATCAGTGCAGAGGTACATTCAGGACTTCTTAGCAAAGCCACTGTAAATGTCCACTTCTCAAGTTCAAGCACTTGGTTCTGGTTAAAGAAACATTTATTTAAACAAATCTACTGTAACATTAAACCTTAAAAAATATTGAATTGAATTCTTTCCCGGACATTGAACAGTGTTTTAGTAGCTTAAACTACTGTGGTTACTTAAGTGTACATGTGGCACCCAAGACATGACCTGTGGCCTCTGGTCCTACACTGTACATGCACCATCCACCCCTAAGGCAGCACTGCTTCTTAAAGTTCCCCTCCAGTCAGAAATCTGTTTCTTCTTCAACACTAAAAGGATGTTTTCACATTCATCCGCTCAAAGTGGAAAGTTTCTCTGAGCTCATTGAAAAGCTGATTTTTAAGGGGCGGGGCCTACCAGTGTGATTTGTGACATCACAAATAGTTTTGAATTCATACCTGGTCCAGTATGCAACTTGTACAGTGATGTAGAAACTTAAAGCAACCAGTGCACATCAACTGAGAATAGACATTTCAGTGAAGTAGGAGACATCTTGTGTCCAGCAGGAAAACTTTAGAAATCAACAACATTTACATATTCAGACATTGTGGAAGTTTTAATGAGGTAGAAGGAGGAGATGACTTTCTAAGGATGTGGAAATTCAGACACAGATTATTTATATATCCGGTCTGTCTGTGCCCTGGAGATGAACACTGTGATGAACTGACTGATTCATCTTCTTATCTGACTCTGACTGAATGTCAGCCTGTTTTTTCTTGAGTTTTCTGTGTGAGGCAGCAACATGAGGTGTTTGGTTTGACAATGTGATTTAACTGTGTGGACCTTTTACCTTTACTGTGTTCTGTGATTAAAAGCCTTTAGAAATTCCCTCATTCAAACCTAAAGGCACAGTTTAATATAAGCTTTCACTTGTATGCAAATTGTTTATTTCTTTTGTTATTGTTTTGTTTTCTGACCACAATCTGAACCTGTGCATGCCTTTAACAGTTTCTCTGTCAGTATGAAACATGTTGAGTTTACAGCGCTGTAAATAACTGTGTTTTCTGTTTTTGTAAGCTGTTAGCTCTCATAGACTTCAGCTTCCTATGAGGTTTGAGAACTAATAAAGGGCTTCCATAGTGTTTAAACATCTGCTGCTCCATTATTTCCCAGTACAGTGCTGTGTTGTGACAGTAGAGGGCAGCAGAGACACACCAGACTCCTGCTGACCTCACACAAGGTTGTATAAAATAGAATGAAAGTAGGGGGAGTTGCTTCTTGCTACACACGTATAAAAAGATAATTAAATTCATAGAACTACAGAGAATAAATAAAATAAAATGAACCAATATATACAGTTATTTGTATACACAAACATATATACACCCAGGATAAATATGAGGTACACACCCCTATTAATCACAAGACTGATGGCTGATAGGCTCTTTATAATGCCAAGAAACATTTCAATAATGGTAACATGCATGTTTATCATGTTTTTTTAAACAAAACAGAGTAAACTGACTGCTTAGTAAAGTCATAAACAATTGTCTAAAAACAAGTAATAAACCAGGAAGTCATTTCCTGTGTGTGAATGCTGCGATGCTGATTGTTAGGATGTTTGGATGATTTTCTAATGACTGACTGCATGGAGATATAAGAATTTTTCTCACAGCTTTGGAAAAAATAGATCCTGAAAAGATCACTGCAAGTGTCATACAGTTTATCCTACTAACAGTCAAGTTTCAAACTAAATTTGCACCCAGGTTTACAAAGGTAATCTGAGTGAGTGGCTAAAATACAAAGGATTAGATTATTTACAGGATATTTGATAATTTTACTAAATTTCCAGTTGTTTCCATGACTGAAAAACTACTCAATAACAAGAACAATGTTCAATGGATCAATGTGCAACACTCATCATTTCCATAGAGTTTGTCGTGGAAAACAAATAGAATTCATGTTTATGTGATTGTCAAACTGAATTTGCAGCTAACAGTAAGAAAAGTTATATCACCAGTTCCACACAATATAACACATATAGCATTAGAAAACTATATATGCAACATATGCAAACATTATGAACATGCAGGAGACACTGATATATGAATACACGAGTAAAACAATAAAAGCAGTAAGCAGCAAGACATTTTACATTTAAGTTCAAATGTTTCACATAAAGCTTGATAAATAAAAACACACTGCTTTTACATCATTTACAGCATTTACAGTACATCATGTGATTTAATACAAATTATGAAGCATTTTATGGGTCTACAACTTTCATTCATGTCCCTCAACAGTGGTCTCAATGTTGAGATAAATAAAAAATGCAAATTAATTTGCAATATGATATTATTTCAAATGAAATCGTTTTATACTTCACACCATATTTATTATTTATGCACCTGTCCCTCACTTCTGAGTCCTTACTGTAATTCTGAACAATATGCCATAGTAAAAGTATTCTTACTATTCTTACCTGTTTTAAAATCAAGAAGGCCTCTCGACCCCATGAAGCTTTGGCAACCCCAGGTTTGGAACCCCCTGCACTCAGCTCTTCACCATGCCCTTATCCTGTTTATATCTTAATATGACAATATGTGTAACATTTAAGAGGATTTATTGTCAGAAACGGAATATAATATCCATAGGGATGTTTTCATTAGTGTATTATCTTCTAGATATAGGAATCGTTATGTTATGCTGTTTATGTTTCCACACGTTTTCACAGCTTTAAGGGGTGTGAAAAAAAGTTAAAGGTCCAGTGTGAAGGATTTAGTGGCATGCAGCATTGTCATTGCAGATCACAACATCCTTGTTTCACCCTCCCTTTCCGTGTGTAGGAGTAACTATGGTGGCTGTGGAACATGCAAAAAAACAGCCCTATCTAGAGTCAGTGTTTGGTTTGTCTGTTCTGGGCAACTATAGAAACATGGCGGAAATGTATGGAGTTAGAATCATGCCAAAACCTCACACACACACGTGTTTTACTCACGCCCAACTATTCACAAACAACACAAAACATAATTCACAAACTAATGTGTGTGTGTTGACCAGCAATAAAGCCCTGTATTTTATGCCTGTCGCTGGAGGAGCTATATGTGTTGTTGCTAATTTGACAGTGTAGATGTCTAATTGTGCAGCTAACATAACTAACTAACTTCACTTTATACTTTTTTGTAGTAATGACCTAATAATGTTGCAACATGATTCCCGATCAGGTTAGTATATTGTAGTGATGGAGTTTCTGTAAGCGTCTATAAGCCGCTGCGGATGGGTTTACATTAGAGTCAATACAAAGCCCGGTGCGTCAACCATACCAGCCGCTGATGGGTACTATATCGGCTGTATGGGACAGCCAAGGAAAGAGACAAGCGTCAGTGTTCGACGAGTTGGGATGAGTAATGCTTGTTCTGTGGAAGCAACACCATTGTAGCACTGTGCCCAAGAACAAATTTCCCCTCGGGGACAATAAAGTTATTTTCTGTTCCTATTCTATTATGATTTCATTAATAGTAATGATTCAATATTTACGACAAAAGATGAATGATTCTATTTAATTTATTTTTACATTTATTCAGCACAGTGTTGCCAACACAATGAGAAAGGGGGAGAAGGTGTATTAAATGTACAATAACTACTCCCAAGACACTCCAGTAACTGGTCCAAGACCAACCAGGCAGATGACAAGGACCACAAGACAGACCAGTGTCTCTAGCGGCCTAGTGGCAGATAACCACTGGTCCGCTGCCAAAATGTGTGTGGAAGCTGAATGCATTTGTGTGTGGATGCAGCAAGGCGGAAAATTAGGTGCGCAAAAAGTCACTGTGAACAGTTTTTTGTACTTTGTAGAATTGTTTTTTGTAACTTGAAAGATTTTAAGTTTGTACTTGAAGGAATTTTTTGTAATTGAAGAAATATATATGTTTCTCATTGTATGTGTAAAACATACTGTACTTTGTTTCTGAAGAATGATGTATTTGTTTTGATAGGTACGTTTCTTATTTGCAAAACAAAATGCATTAGTTTTGTGAATGATGTTTTGTATCTGCAAACCACACTGAGTTTGTTTGGTGAATCCGTTGGGCGTGGAGTAAAACAAGTTTTGTGTGTGTTGAGGTTTTCTAACTCCATAAAAAGCTCCTCAAAGGCGACACTTAAGTTTTAGCAGGTAGCTTTTAGCATCAGTGCTGGGGGCAAAGCCATGCTGCTGTATTCAGGGATGGGAATGTTTACTGGCCTGCTAACCCGTGGCTGCTGTTGTTTCCCCTGGAACAATTTTTTTTTTTTTTTTAGGAAAAAACCCTGCTAGGCTGAGGGCCTCACTTTGAAGTCAGTGATTTTAAAAACTTTGCGTCACTCCAATTGCTATTTTCCAGTGTCAGCTTGCTGTGGAAGCAGGACTTTCAGCTGCTTTAGAGTGGCAGTACCCTCGCACCACCTCGCATGATCCAGCTGTGAGCTGTCCTGAACCTTGAGCGTTAGTTACATGAGTCATAGCACATTTTAGGCTTTGGAGTTCTGACAGCAGCACAGAGCATATATGCATGCATTCATTCATTCATTCATTCATTCATTCATTCATTTACACTGTTTTGTTTGAACAGCATCTCTAGTTTTTCTGATTGTTTTTCATTCAGTCTTTAAGAATGAGACTTTCTCATTTTGCATGTTGTTACAAAAACAATATAAGAGGGTATTATAAAGGGAAAATAAAAACAAAACAGTACTGAATCATAATGTTGCTGTTGTACAAGGCTGAAATTGTTGACCTGGTGCAGTTGATTCTCAATCATTTAATGCAAGTAGCTATCTAGTCGCAAACGTCTTCTGTCATTGGGTTTCATTGTAATTAATGTAATTTAAATGTGAGTTCATGTCCTGATATCTATATGGGGTTCCCTCATATGAACCACATACATTATGGAGCCTCTGCCCTGCACAAGTAGAGCTTGTCTCCCCCTGGTGGTTTCCTTGTGTCTTACAGTATAGTTGATGGATCTGGATATAGGAATTTGATAATGAATTCATGAGATAGATGTCTTTATCATGATGAAGAATTATTAATCATAAGATGAGTCACCACTGCAGATTGTGATTTAGCAAAGTTCGGCACCCAATTTACCCAGATGATAAAACTTTGACAGCATGAAGCAATTAGGGAGAGAGCTTCCCTTCAATTGAGCTCCCTTCAAACTGTGATTCGACATGCTGCTGGAGTCAGTTGAAAAATTCACTTCATGAATTTCAATTTGTCTAGAGGTTTTCATGGGGGCTTTGGGGATAGATTCTCCCCTCTGAAAAGAATTTCACATTCTGTTTTTAAAGACCTTTTTCAAAAGCAGAATGTTTGATACATGCGGGGAATTTAGAGCAGATGCCTTTGCTTTGAACCCCAGTGGTGTGAATTGAAAAGTGTTACGGGCAGGTTTGTGCTTGTACCTGTTATCCCTGGAGATTTGGCTCACAGGGCAGTACAATGTAGTCAAGATAGTCTTGCTGATTAAACACTCTAGCAAAACTGGTTACCAATGTGTGTGTGTGTGTGTGCTCTTGTGTTTTGTGCGTGCCAGTCTTTTTTCCCCCTTTTTTTTTTAGTATTACTTAGAATTAAGGTGGTGCAAGTGAAGGTGGTGAGGTCAAGGGTTCAAATCCTGGCCACAAATGATAGAGAAACTGAAATAGAAAAGGGAAAGTCCCAACAATATCCAGAAACCTTACCTCTATTTTTGTGTGTGCCTCAACTATTTGAAACCAAAGCAGCAGGCTTATAGGACTTTCATTTTTGTTTTATTGTGTTTTATTGCATTTAGGGTTTGGGTTTCTTTCCAGCTTTAGAGATGCATTTTCTGCTCTACACTGTTTTTTCTATACTTGTCTTCAACAAACTGAATGAATGTCTTCAGTGATGTGTTCCTTTATCTCTGTCTCCTCCAGAGGATGATGTCGATTTAGAGGCCCTGGTGAATGATATGAACTCTTCGCTGGAGAGCCTGTACTCCACCTGCAGTGGTCAGCAGACAGAGTCAACCCCACTACTGCACAATGGACAGACCTCTTCCTCACACCACCATCAACATCACACGCAACACAACCATCCTCGGCAGGGTCAGCACTCACATGCGCTAAGCCACGCCTCCCCAGAGCTGCCCTCCTCCACGTCCGTGGACTCCCACCAAACCGGCCTCCGGCGGTCACAACCCATGCACATCCTTGCTGTCAGGTATGTGTCTCCACAGTATATGAAGATTCTTAATTGATATATTTCTTGGTGCACTTCAGCAGCTCAGAGTTGGATTGGATTGTATGGCAGGCGCCGGACAAGAAATGGAGCTGAACCCTAGAGGGAGCTCTCCAGACTAGCATGAAAGACAGCTTACATAAACATACAGTATAATTGGCTGCAGACTGGTATAGTGCACTGGGAGAGTGCCCTTCAAAGAGTGTAAGCACCACAATGACACAACCAGCATCGTAGAAAAACACAGCTTGACACAAAGGGACATGGTTTAGACAGACTTGTTTTGATGCAACAGAAACATTTGCGAGAATAACATTCGAAAGACATTTTGGTTGTAAAGGGACACAAAAGTATAACTGAGACATATGATTTCCCATTTCAGTATTCACTGAGTAAAGTGGTCAATAGTCGATTGAAGATTAATCAGTTAGTCAAGCATCAGATAATTTAATTTTTAAATATTTTGTTGTCGATCACTCCTCTAAGACAATTTTCATGCAAAAAAACCCAAACATTGCTTTATCCCAGCCTCTCAGTGATGAGGACTTTCTGCTTCTCTTTGTCTCATGTGGTAATAAACCAATTTCTTTAAGTGCTAATAATTATTTGAGGATGTCACCATGGGTTTTAGGAGATTTCCCGCCACTTTCTGACAATAAACAGACCAAACAATTGATGGAATAATCAAAAGATAATTGGCAGGTTAATCAATAATGAATAATTGTTAGTTGCAGCCCTTAATGAATGTATTTACCACAGGCGTGAAGGAAATTTCCAGTGGACGATTTCTCAGTAAAATGTGTGCATTCATCGAGTGCACCCGGGCAAACAGAAGTATGGCACCAAACTTTAAGCTAACTCCTTCCTTCCGCGTACAGTTGGACATGCAATGCCACACACACATGCAGAGTTCCAGCTCTTTTTTCTCTCTACATTGGAAAAGGAGCCTCTCACTGTACGCCGTCATCTCTCCACACCCTCTCGATAATTGGGCATAATGTTTCCTCCCCGCTCCCTATCTTTAGCCCTTGAATGACCTGTTCCTCCTTGTCACTCCCTCTTTATCTCAAACTACACCAGCAGGAGAACTGTAAAAACTCGTATTCTCCCTAAGGTTGTTGGGTGCATTCAGAAGTGGGTATGCTCACTCACATGTACACACTAAGCTATCAGATGTATAGACGCAGACACACAGTCAATGTCAGCTCTTATTATTCACCTTTTGTGACAGAAAAGCAGGGATGATCAGGTAATGGAATATTCTGTCTTATGAACTCTGTCTCACACGCACACTCTCACCCACACAGACTCAGGCCCTGAAGTTCTTATTATTCAGGGCTGACCTCCGGATAACCCTGTTCTCAAACTCAGATGGGACAACATCAAAAGGCCCGTTCCCTTTTGAACTCACTGGGTTCTACAGAGAGACAGAGTTTGACAGAGAAGAAGACAGTCAGAAAGAGTTTTCTACAGTGACTCTGACCTACTTACCTAGCTAGAATTTCACAAACTAACCTGCCCATTTTTAAAAGAAAGACTGAATCTTGAAAAGTTTATGATCAGCTGTCAAATCCTTCCTCTTTCAAGCCATAAGATTACACTATATGTGCCTAATTTAAAAACTGCTTTAAAGTGATGTCTTGATTCAATATTGATGTGTGATAAATATTGCAGAAAATTAGCTAGCAAGCTGTGTGGGTCTGTGATTTCCACTTCATTATCGGTAGATCAGATGGAAACAGACATGAGCCTGCATACTGCACAGCAATGCTTTATTAAATCTAACTCTCCATGTGTCACCGGCTCTCATTTCAAAGTTCTCCTCTTTCAATAGGCTATTCCAGGTCACAACTTAAGACTTCAGTTTGTATTTTTGCCTATTGTAATCATGAAAACAAGCTAATACTACTAAGTTTGTTTGACCACAGTATGACTGTTCCTTTGTCGGGTTTCCATTGTCCAGGAGATTGCAGGAGGAGGAGCAGCAGCTGAGGACATCATCTCTCCCGGCCATCCCCAACCCCTTCCCCGAGCTCTGTAGTCCAGCAAGCTCCCCTGTCCTCAGTCCTGGCTCCCTACCTCCTGGAGAACCCTCCACTGGCAACTATGTAAGTCAAACCCCACGAAGATACACTGTAGAAACTTTCCAAAACTTTAACTTCCAAAAAAAACCGTTTTAATTTTTCCCAGAGGGACTCTTGTAGGTTTAATATTTTCCTCTGTGTGTTATTGATGTGGTTACAAAACATTATCACATAGGATATGGGAGACCATGTCAGATGCTTTTCACTTTGAAAAACAGGATATGAGACATCAGCTGATTTTGATTACCTTTCATGTTGATAACTGAGACATATGTGACTCAAGTTGCTTGTTTTGAAGGATGCAGGATTTGAATATCATAAATCAGCTGTGTGTAGTGGTCAACTGTGTGTTGGACATAAGCATTTAGGGATTTTCCCTGCTGTACGTCTGCCCCATGTTTTGCTCATCTGAGGCATGTTGATTGCTTGCACGTGACAGCACTGTTACCGTACAGTGCATGTGTGTGCTCTAGGGAGGGTTTGTGGCTTTGTTTGAAGAAAAAAAAAAAAGAATGAGGTGAAGAGTGGAGGAGCTGTGTGTGTGTGTGTG